TTGTGAATGTGAGCTTTATTAGTAGATTCTGGGGCTACGTCAGTATGGTAGCGTATCGTGGCTACATAATAAGTTCATAAAAAATCTGCTTAGGGAGGGGGAGAATAGGAATTTCATCCAGATTGACTGTATTTTCTCAACCCGAGTCTACCATCAGGCGAGGCAAGAAGTGCTATGTACAGAGAGAGTCTAATAAATAGAGTAAAGCAAGCAACCGACCCCTTTTGACCAGGTCCGTATCCCTATGCGAGAAGTGTCTAGAAAGCAAGCCACCGCGAACGAATACACCTTTTGAATCACATACGCCAACCCCACCCCAGGATATTAAAAACACAGTATTCCGCACAAGGCTAATCGAGTCCCAGAAAAGCAACGAATCGACAAGTAAAATCACAAAGCGCAGTAGCATCTAGCATCAAAGGACTTAAACCACAAGCAAGAAGGACTTGAGAGAACAAAGAGAGAGCAGATGGTAAGTATACAAGGCTGGATGGAGTCGGGAAGAAGAGGATGGTCTGCGATCACGCCTGACTTTGGCTGGATCGCGACAGCCGAGATGTAGACCTCTGGCTCCGATGGGACGGAGCACGCTCCGGAGGTGCGTATTCAAAGTGCGGGAGAAGTTCTGGGTTCTGGCTCGGAGGGGTCTTCGAGGTAGTTTGGTAATCTCCCAGAACACGGTCATCAGCCGCAGTATCGGGGTGGATTTCAATGCCTTTCTGCTTATCCAGGCCTCCATGAGGACTGTCCGTCTGGACCTTGAAAGCCTCTCCATCACCTGGTGCCCGCTCGATTGGAGACCAGCCCGCAATACTTCCCGCAACCACACCGGCCATAGCAGCAGCAGGCCCGAAGGCTGAATTCGAGCGAGACCGAGTGTGTCGTCTAGAGCGGGAATCGGGAGTAGGGGGCTGTGTCGGGGTGCTGTCGCTGTGTTCGCCAACAGGAGTACCCGGAATCGAGTTTTCTCTGGACCGTGACCCGCTTCGTGATCTTGGGAGGAGTTCTTCTGGATGTTGCAACTTGTGCTTGAGATGCCTCAACCGACCTCCGCGGACCGTCTTGAGGAACTTCAACTGATCCCGGATCTCCTCGAGCGCAGGGTTCCACTCAAACCGCCGGTCCTCGTCGGATACCAGTAGCTCGGGGCCCTTCTTGCGCTGCCAAAACCGAGGGATGAGCCTGCTAATAAACTCATCAGGTATCAATCGGATGATCACGGCTACCGGCAGCGAGATTACGCCTAGAACCAGCGAAACACCCCACTGAGCTCCGTTGAGTCGCTTGACAGAGAACGCCTGTCCACCAACGAAGATGATGAGTATTTGTCCACCAATAATGATGAACTGAATCCCCAGGAACCAGAAGTTTCGCCACATGCCCTCGAAGATATTGAAGTTGTTGTCGAGTCGGCGACAATTCCACTGGTTGAAGATCTGCATCCAGACAAACGTATTGAACACCATCGTCTCAAGCCGGTCGAGGTCGTCTGCCGTTTTGTAGTGAAAGATCGATTGTCCCGCGAAGTTCAGAACCAGCGTGACGACCAACTGATAGATACTCTGTCCGATAATCATCTTCCACATAGTCAAATTGATCAACGGCGCCGATTTAGGATCAGGTCGACGGTCGAGAACATGAGGTGAGGGGGGATCCGTAGCCAAGGCAAGGGCCGCAAAAGTATCCATGATAAGGTTAACCCAGAGAAGCTGAACTGCCGTCAGGACAGATTCCTCATCTCCACTCGCTACTGCGGAAACAAAAGTGAGGACCACGGCAGTAACGTTGACAGTAAGTTGGAACTACAGCTCTGTTAGCTTTGCTTGCGGAACACAGAATCATACAAAAGACATACCTGAAGGAATTTCTTGACAGCATCATTGACTGTCCTACCCCAAGCCATAGCCTTGATAATCGAGGTGAAGTTGTCGTCCATGAGAATGATATCGGACGCTTCTTTAGCAACTTCAGTGCCAGAAATTCCCATAGAAAAGCCAACATCAGCCGTCTTGAGAGCCTGTGCATCGTTCGTACCGTCGCCTGTCACAGCCACCGTTTCACCCAGCTTTTTAAGTTGAGTAACCAGAATTTTCTTGTCGTCGGGGCTTGACCTGGCCAGGACCTGTAGCCGCGGGATGATTTGCGTCATCTGACGGCTGCTTAACTGACGGAACTTGGGGCCCTCAATAGCAATGCCCCCAGGAGTGAAGATACCGCATTCTTGGGCGATAGCTTTGGCAGTCATGATGTTGTCACCAGTCACCATACGCACAAAGACACCTGCACGTTGACACTGGTGAACGGACTCGGTCACACCCGGTCGCAAGGGATCCTGGATACCAAAGACGCCCAACAAAATCATATCCTTGAAGACTGCATCGAAAACAGCGAGCGATCGATCCTCCTCCTGAGTAGGAGCCCCACGGGGTGGCCATTGATCGAAGTCCCGGTACACCAGACCAATAGTTCGTAACGAATGGGATGCATAACGGTTGATCAAATTGTCCAGGTTAGACCGGTCTTGATCCGACATAGGCCCTTCTGACAAGTCCTGGGTAGCGTTGTGAACAATACGAGTGGATCTCGCAACCAGAATTTCGGATGCACCTTTGACCAGCATTCTGTATTTACCAGTTTCCATCTTGACGACCACCGCCATACACTTGCGTCCGGAGTCAAATGGCACCATCTGAGCAAGATTTGCGTTGTCCCGAGCCTCGCTGAGTGACCCTAGGCCGAGATACGTACGCGCAAATCCCAGAAGGGCAGTTTCCGTCTTCGAACCGATGAAAGTCATTACACCATCTTGCTCCCCTTCGAATGCCGTGGAGTTATATACAATCGACTGGATCAAAAGGTCTTTGGCAGGAGCAGAAAGGCTGGATGCAAACTCGGAGGGAGAAAGAGTGGTCGCAGGGTCGCGACCCCGGTCGCCGTCTGGACGACTAGAAGTTTCGGTAGACTTGTCTCCAAATCTTAAATTCTTTCCCAGAGTAGCCGCGACGGCGGTCATCTTGTTTTCCGTCAGGGTACCTGTTTTGTCGGAGCAGATAGTCGTGGCATTTCCCATGGTTTCACAGGCTCTTAGCAGGCGTACGAGGTTATTGTCCTTGAGCATCCGGGTCGTTGCAAAGGCGAGCGCCAGGGTGACAGCCAGAGGAAGACCTTCTGGGACAGCAACAACAATGACGGTCACGGCAACAATGAAGATCTGCAGGAAAGCTTGTCCTTTCTCGGATGCGCCGCCCATATCTTTCAACTGAGCAAGGAACTTGATGAAAAGCACGACGAACAGGAGTAATCCAGAAGCAAGACCGAGCTTTGCAATGTACTCTGCGAGCACATTTAGCTTCGATTGCAGCGGGGTGGTCTGCCCTTCATCCTGAAGAGACATCATGGTCTTTCCGTATGTCGAATGAACACCGACTGCTGTAACCAAGAACGTCCCTACACCTTCAGAGACTTTGGCACCAGATACGATGAACGGGTCCTGCTTCGAGACGTTTTCGTGTTGCTCGATCGCCCGATAGACATCGTGAGCAGGAGTCTTGCGTAACACATCCGACTCACCGGTCGCAGAGGATTCATCGCATTTGACATTGTGGCCAGTAATAAATATACCGTCAACTGGAATAAGATCACCGGGTTCAAGATGCATAACGTCACCCACGAGAATGTCGTGAATGGAGATCTCTGCAGTTTTCCCGGAACGGACCACTTTCACCAGTCGATCATCTTTCTTCTTGTTCAACTTGACAAACTGGCGTTCCTTTTGCCAGTCGTTAGCAGCACCCACAACGACCACGATTAGGATGGCAACAATGATAGCCACGCCCTCTACCCATTGCACACGTGCTTCCTTCCCCGTTGCCGTCACAGACTGATAGATTCCAAGGGCGAGAGATATGATTGCAGCTATCGTAAGCAGAATCAGGACCTTGTCGTTGTATGCAATCCAAGCCAGCTCCAGAAAACTCTTAGCCTTCCTTTCAGGAAGCTTGTTCCTCCCATAGACGCGGCTTCGATCCCCAAAGGCATTTTCGACATGCTTCGACGAGCCCGTGTCGGTTCTGGGAGGGCTCGTTGGCGTCGAGGAAGCGGTCTTTGGCAGCGATTCGGACGTTTGCGTGCTGGTGGCATCTTCGAAGCTTACTGTACCATCCAGGTCTCCCTCATCCAAACTCAGGCCACTCCGCGCGTCGGTTCGAAGTCCTTTTTCGATTCCACGCAACCCTCCCAACGCATGAAATGCCCCCAGGCTCTTAGGGTTCAATAGCTTGTTCAGATGGCCAGGCGCGAATGCAAATTTGTTGTCTTCCACCTCAAACTCGGCCTCTCGCCCCGGATCCGGCTTGAGGGCATCCTCATCGGAGATTATCGTGTTCTGGGTCAAATCGGTGCGCGAGCCGTGAGATGCTGTGGGAACATAGGTATCTCCCCCGTACGAGCTGGTATACGAATTATTCGAGTCCTCAGATTCCAACGAGTTACCGCGGGACCTGGTGCCGGGGACAGCCAGATAATTCGAATTCGACATGTTCTCCGTCATTTTCGAGGCGGGAGAGGAGATATTGTGCGGGGATGTAGGACGACTCTCGTAGTCCCGGTTCTCAGATGACGCAAAAGAGCGGACTGACGATGGCGAGACACCCCCACTGCTCAAGAGCGCGCTCATATCATGCGCATCAACATTTTCGGTAGACACTTGTAAGGAGGGGTGGGATGGGGTAGGAAGTATCTGTTGCGGGGGTTCTTGCTGGTCGGTTGAGGACGTTACAGCCGACGTATCGATGGTGATAGTCGGGGCCCGCTCCCGTCGCAGGGGAGTCGACCCTGACTGCCTAGCATCATGGCCATCCGATTTGAAATCCGGCATGATATTTCCAAGGGGTGAAACAACCGGAGATGAGTGGGTCTTGGGAGCGATGGCAACCGGTTGGTAAGAACTAGGATACTAGACGTCAATAGGAATGCGGCTCCAAAAGGAGCTGAACAATTGAACAGCGCCGTATCATAAAATGTCGGAGCCAGACGCAAGAGAAGTGGGTATCATTCCAGAGGCAAGTAGCAACCGATTAAGCTCAATAGCGGACACCGAAGAGGAATGCGCGAGTATTATATCCCATGTGTTTTAGCTACACTAAGAACTGGCGCTGCGGATTAAACAGACGAATGCGCGGGACTGGCCGTGGGAGTAAGGAACGTCCAACATCGATTGAACAGCGATTTGAGAGAAGCACGAGAGAAGACGGGAAACAGGCGACTAGTGAGGCGAAAAGGAGGGAAGGACAACGGTGGAATATGAAGGTTGACAAGCTTTGCCAGCACCAGAGAGCCACACCACGTAGTAACGTCGTATCAGGAGCACATCCGGAGGTGACAATTATCGAAACGCGACCCGATGGTGGGACCAATCCCAGCAAAGTATAAACGGATTAAAAGCACTGTCAGTGCTAGAAGGGCTTATCAGCGACGAGTTATTGTTTGAAAGCCAGCGAATGGACAGACGTTTTGATTTTGCGTTGAGGGGAATTGGGGGGGGAAACCGACAATCCAGCGACCGAACCTCACTTGTGTCGGCGTAAGGAGCACAGAACCAATGGAGGTAAATTACGGAATGAAGCGAAGACAAAGAGGGTTTAAGGGCAAGAGAAAGTCAAGTGGAGGAGAAAGGGAGAATGAATGGGGGAGGGAGAAATTGGGGAATCAAGCAGAACAACGACACATCATGAAGTTGGGTGGATAGAACGATTGATAGAGTGACTGAGATCATGGAAAGTAAAGAAAGAGGAATGGCAGGCGCAGCTGTACTGTCAGGTAAGGTACCTACTTACCGACTACAGCATGATTCGGTGATAGACCCTGCACCTATCCTGCAAAGGACCAATCACTACGACTAGCTGCCCCACTGTGGACCCACCAGTTGGTCCAGATCGAGTGATGTGGTAAGTTTGGGAAACGAAAGCTGTTTGTTTGCAGAAGAAAAGCTGCCAATTGCCCGATGGCTGACAATCTACCCCATGTTTGATGGTTTCTGCTTCGTCAGGGCACTTGGTTTATCGATCTTCAGGGAAACTCCATTTATATAAGGGAGAGCGCCTTTCAATCATTCTCTTCCTTTTTCTGACCTCTAACGGGAACATCCAGGGATTGAGGCGACCTCCTTGCCACCAAAACAGGGCGCTGGAGGTGTTTGGTTTCTTTGGGGGGATTGTTTAACGGGCCTAATGATCTCTGCAAAGCTCCGACTCGCCCAAAGCTGTAACGTAACTCGTCGGTTCACTTTGCACTGCCTCAATTCTCGACCCCGTCATCGAAAGTCTTTTGATTTGATTTTTTCCCACCTTTCCCCCTTTCAGAAAAATCTATTTTATTTTATTCCCATTTCATTAATTTTCAGGCCTTTATCATTACCCGCCATTATTGATATGATTATCCTGCTCCCTTTCTTTTTCTGTTTCTGTGTTCCCATACCTGTTTGGGGAAGAAGGTCATTTTCAGTGCAAGAAATAATCCGATGTGACATCTAGACTATGAGTGTATGGAGTAGAATACTACTAAGTAAGTCGCTTACTGGAAAGGGACGAGGGAACGGGAAAGTGGTGACGGAAGAGACAAAAATCCACACCTCGGTAGTGCATCCCTCGCTCTCCAGACTAACGGTCGAGCTAGAATTAAGGGGAATGGAACCCGAAGCAGGACGTGCTCCATCCACGTACCTTAAACTCATCACCAGCCAATTTTCTCCCGGTTTACCAGCAGTGAGGCGGATACTTTCTACCTCCAATGCTACCAATGCCGTTTACGAGATGGTCCCCAGAACACTAGCGGTATTTAGACGGACCAAATGCCGCAGTGTAATTCTTGTTCTCGGTTCATAATACTCACATGGGGGTATCCCATCGTGATGATGTTGGACCTGCCTCTTCAAGTGTTCTAACTTGACCCCCAAGAAAGGGGCTCCACTCGGACCACGTACTATCAACCAAGTAGATAGGCGGCGCAGAACGATAAACTCGACTAGTTATCTATCTAGACTACTATCTGTCTATTCATCTACTCATCGCTCTGACGTTACTCGCTAACTAAGTAACTTACTAAGAAGCCATCAAATTAATGACGATGCATTAATGTTTGGACTAGTCGAGCTAATGCACGCTACGCATCAGGTCTAACCGCCGGGTTCGCCAGGGAAAGAATATTCCATGTACCACATGTCACCCGAGAGACTGTGATGAATGTCAAAGGACGGATAAAGAAAAGTTATCAAACGGTTAATGGTAAAACAGATCACCAATATCCTGTCAACAACACGCAAGATGACGAAGAAAACCCGCCAACAAGTCTAGACTTGTGGAACAACAGCTCGAACCCCAACCTAACTTTCTCCGTTAGTAAATAGTCTACTTTACCAGGAGAGGAACAAGAGGAGAAAAGAAGAAAAACAAGACTTGGCAGGAAGGGGGCGGTGCAAAAAAAAAGGGCCCCATCCATCTAATCCACGTATGGGAACCTGACTAGTCTAGTTTGCATACTACAAAGCAAGTCGACAGGGAAGTAAGGTTAGCTTTAGCTTAGCCGGAAGGGTAATAATAATATGTTTATTATCCTCGTTTGGAAGAATATTCCTTCTTAGTTAGTCTAGTAAATACTTGGAAACTTGACTGATTTTGACTTCATATCCGGCGCATCCTATTTCCACTTACATCCACAGCAAATAACCCTGGTGACATCAGATCATGCCTCTATCAATATGTTTATCACTGTAAAGTAGTGCAGTGCAATGCAGTACACTTTCCCGCGTATTGTTATTGTCATGTTATGTTAATTCTCCGGGCGGAGCTCTCCGTCCTATCCAATTCCATATCATCAGTTTGCCCGTTGCACCACCACCATCACCATCATCACGATGATCCCGTAAGGGAAGCTTCATAGAACCTGACACCTACCACAATGGTGTACAGTCTCATCATATCTCGTTTGGGCCCCTATTCCAAAACCCAACCCTTATGGGGTAAGTATCTACTCCCGTACGGATAAGCAAATAATACCATCAACCTGACTTGTCAATCCGCCTATGCTAAGCTCTGCGTTAGCCGAGTGGTTACATGCGAAATAGCATAGCCACCACAAGCACAAGCTCCGGGTGACACGGATGTCGTCAGCTTGCTTGGAAGAGGGCTTTTCTCCCTTTCATTTTGTTTCTACACTCTAATAAGGTTGGATTGGGTAGGTAGTAGGTTTGGGCTGCTATCTCCCTTTCGTTTTCGTCTGTTTGCTTGTCAACATACAGTAGGTTCACGGATTGGGTCCGCATGTCTCGGTCCAAGTGCTACGTAGATGCTAGTAGGTACGTAGAGGAATGGCGCGGACGAAGAGCTTTCGTGATTATCATGCTTGGTTGCTTTGTCGGGAGGAACTACCTGATCTGGAAAAACAAGATGCCTAGGCTCACGGCAATCTAATCTGAGGGGATGATGGTCTGCTTTCACATGGATGTTGGTCTTAACATAATGGTGGAAGGTTACAGATGATTCAGAACAGCTTGTATCTTTTGCTAAGTTGTTAGACTCTCTGGCACAACATGGGCTCCAAACATCTCCCACCATATCATGAAAATGAATCAATCTCCAGCATCCAGTCATACACTGGCCACCTCTGCCGTTGCTCATCTGTGATCGTAGATTCAGTCTCCTTGTATTGAACCTCAAGCCATTTCCGCCACGGCCAGTCGATCCAATCTTCAAAGCTGTTAGGATTTCCATAATAAATGTTCCATCGAAGTAGTGGACTAATCGGGACGCCAAGAAACCATTCGCTCACTTCTGCGCTGTTTGAAGGATTGCGTGATCGCCCAATAACAGACTTTCCCAAATCAATAATGACGGCCCTTACTCTTCCCAGTTTACTCTGTTTAATCAAGATATTGCAAGGACATAAGTTTTCATGGCGAGCGTCCTTGGCATAGAGTGCAGACTCTCCATGAAAGATCTGTTTCATGATATTCTGGCGCTCCTCTGTTGAGAATATTTTGGGCTCTAGGTGACTCATGGGCAGACCATTGACTCGCTCAACTAAGATCAAAGCGAATTTGGCGAGAATGACCATCGATCTTTGTTGCGAATGTGTAAGAGCCGAAGAATCGGGGAAGAACAGTGCCCTGTAGCTCGGACAAACGCTTATAAGAGGCACACTCGTGCGAGTAATCATAGTCAGCTGCCCGAAAAGGGCTGCCATCGTCACGGTCGTGGTAGAGAGGGTCATAGAACTTGGCGATCATGTCGTGATCTGTCAGTAGACCTGAAGGATGAAATTTATCCACACATCTTACAAAAAATGCCTGGGACCTTGTATGGAAGCCAGTTTGCAGTTCCTCAGTCAACTGGATATTAACAAAGCTGAGACCATCAGAGCCTGGCAGAGGGGGGTTCTGGAGACATAGCTCTAGGGGGGAAAGCGAACGATCCAGCTTGTCTTGCATAAATATTTCATTTCTGTGGAGTGGAGGAGGAGCGTGTGACTGAATGACCAGTACTGCACTGATGCGATATGGAGACGGCTCGTTGTCGTAAGTACCAACTATCATGGTTGGCAGGCTGACTCTCAGCGTTTCTAACTGAAAGAATCCCAATAGACGGGCAAAGAATAACGTGGTTTTGCTAGGTTGCGGCTGAGTTGGGTTCTTATTAGAACAAGATAGCACCAAGAAGACCAAAGCAATATACCAATGGCCATCAGCAGAAGAGGACTCTAGATGTTTCACCAACTTTGATCCCACTTACATCACGTTCATTAATCGTGAATATGACAAGCAGCAAACTAGGATAAGTAAGTGAAGATGGAAATTCCCGCAATTAGTATATCCTACTATTGTTGGCAACATCCTGATTTTCCGGTGACTGCCCAACAGAACTGGCCAGTATATATAAGTAGCTAGCCGAAGCCGATGCATTACCCTAAGCGCTCCTCAACACTTTAACTAAGTAGGTTAGATACAACAACTACTTAAGGTCAGAAGCAATTGAATTCAGACATGTAAGCTTAGCATATTGTCCATCGCTTAGTCCCCTGTGTCAAATCTTCTCGGGGAGGAGTTGTCTCAGAGATGTCGCAGTAAGTCGTGTCCACGACTCTTTCAGAGCACTCCCTACGACAGTTTGATTACAATTAATCAGTTTCTGAGTCCTTATACATATATTTCAGATGGATTACATAGTTTTCTTCTCTCAGCAAATACCAAAGTACTTCAACAACGTCCGTATCCCAGAGAATGCGGCTTCTGACTGAAATATCATGTTTAGACTCAGACATTCACTTAGCCAGGCATGACCTGAATCCCTGCCATCTCCGAATACCTGGTATCTGACCTAACAATCAAACAATTATATTCACCCCTACATCTTGTACTATCCTCGAATTCAGCAACTTGGATATTTGGTTCTTCTCTTTTAAGCCCGGTCTACCTGTAAGGATACGATCCAAGAGGGGGAAAGCACGCCAGAGAAAGGGCAAAACTGCCATGTACATTCTGCTTAGAGTCTCGAGCAGAGCTCTTCTAGATATTGGGGCTTCATTGAGTAACCGTATACCGTTGAGTTGCTCAAATTGAGGTGGAATATAGTAACTGTGTTGGAACGTAGAGATATAGAATGTACTAACGGCTGATTTATGCTACTGGAAAAGGTTTATGCATTTCTTTTCATCGCTCAGCTACTATTTTCATATACTCGGATTTTTCGGCTAGTATCAAACCTACCAGCTTTTGACTTTTTGGAGGCCACTACCTTAAGGAAGCTGTGGTGCACAGAAGAACAAAGCGATCTGATTATATGGCATTCATAAGGAAAATACATTCTAGATATTATTTGAGTAACATATTGCAGTACCGTAGAGGAGGCATAAGGCTTGGCCGTACTCTTGTAGTGCTTGCTCTCGTCTTGCCATCAGGGCCTGGAGCAACAGACGAGAATCAGGATTTCGGGACAACAGAGACCGGATCAGAATGCTGTCGAAGGCAACCAGGTCCTCGGGGCTACCTGTTAATCTAAAAAAAGAAAAAGTGTACCTAGGAATGGGGTTTGTCTTGTCTGATACAGCCCTGTTTTAGAGGACTTCCTAATCAAACCTTTTCGGACTTGTACGTTTACCCTAGTAGGTTAGGTAGCAGCAGCGCCAGTTTGCTTTCGCTTTGCAGTTTATCATACTATCATCACTGGAAAGAAAAGTCATCCCTTATCGAGCGGTCATGTCCCTCCTGTCAACCAGCACCATAAGAAGCACCTAGACATTGCTGGGTTGACTGGATAGCAGTCAATATATCTCGCATGCTATGCTCGTTCGCAGGACGCGCAGTTAAGAGATAGCCATCTCCATCATGGGCCTCTTCTAGAGACAATATATTATCGCGACGTTTAAATTTAACACTGTCTCCTTGATGAAACTGGGCTCACTAGATCTCTCGGTGTCTTCTAGTAGTCATAATGAACCGGTCAACAACCTCATCCTACACGTAATGGCACTGCATCTGTATACCATTGATCATATGGCCATCATTGTGGACTTTCAGGTTCTTTCGCGTTTCTAGAGACTTCCTTGCAATTTAGGGCTTCGCTCTCCGAATTCAAGAACCATGTCTGTTCGTCATGGAGTTGGGCGTTCAGGTCACAGAGTCCTTGTTCCGGTTCACCGAGTCGTGATGCCTACTCAGTACTCGAGGATAACCTGCTTGTAGATGGTTTTCTGCGTTTATAATTTTCAGCGTAGCTGTCTCAGGTTCTATACAAGAAAAAAAAAAAAAAAGGGGGGGGGGGGTTGGTTTACATGCAGAAGATGACCTGACATAAAGCATAGTAGATTTCGGAATTATATGCAGCTCAAGAGTGTGTTAGATATAACTTGGAAGGAATATCCTGTTTTTCCATTGTCTTAATTAGACGATTTCGCGCAACTGGGAGGGCAGAGAATGCAGCTTTGCGGTTCAGCTATATGCGTCTTGCAACGTAGAGCGCTGGGTTTGATTCTCATGAGTATATTCTGACCTGCTCGGGTTGAATAGATTTAGGACCCTGTAATAATTATCTGACTCTTCTTGCTCGAGTTTGATTCATATTACCGTAAGAGCCAGAGAAAAACACCATCATAGACTGTCTTTTCGACAGCATTATATACTTATATGGGTTATCAAAGACCTGGCTTGGACAGAACGAGGCTATGTTCGCATCGACCGTTTTGACAAATACAATATTTTGGACGTATCGGCGACTACACAGTAGTCCCTATGTGTCCAAGTCAGGGTGTACTTCGTCACTTAGGAAATTGAAGTATAAATATCAGAGGAGTATCTTTTCGCTGTTGATATATTCTCAAGAGACTCCGAAGATGAAGCATGTCATCAGTCGTGAACGCTTCCCAGAGGACGCGTTTGTGGGTAGGCTATTGCTCATTAGAGCGAGTAGACATTTTCTTAACGATCGCCATTATAGATAACGAAAAGCAAGTAGTTCCCGATCTGCTATATCTGCGTCCATGTTCCGGATTTTCTTCAAGAGTATCAGTTGAACACCACAGGCTGGGGGAAGGGGCCAGTGTGAAAAGTCAACAAGGTCAGCGCCAGCATGGCCCTCCCTTGTATCGTATACCTCGGTCGCTGTGGAAAATGTGTGTGCTAGTTGTAATGATAGAGTATTGCATGTGAGTGATGCTCGTGAATATTCTGATGCTGATTGGTTTCTTGACTTCGATGGCTCTGTAAGTTTGGCATAGAATGTTAGGGGCTTTCTCTAGTGTGCATGCAGTCTTGGATATGAAACCTTAAAAGCTCTAGGTACTTATCAATGATGATGATATAGAGTAGATGCTAACCTCTGGTAATGTCTTAAGTTCTTGCTTTTTATTGGATTAATATTTAAATCTCGCTTGTTCAAGCAATGAGCGCCCAGAACTATACAGTGATATGAATAGCACCATGTTCAGATGAGAAAGAAAGAATGTTTGTGGAGGAAAGTAACCCCATATGCGTAGAATTTATGATGATGAGAGGGGTCAGAGCTAGTCACTAACAGGCAAAGTGTAGTCACTTTCAGTAAGATACTATTGAACATGGTGAATACATGTCGCGTTGCATTCTTCATTGCATTTCTTCATTTCATTATGGCTCATAATTGCTTATTCAATCATGTCCGCCTCGGTATTAGAGTCATGCCTGTGGCAGTCAGTCGGGGTTGAATCACCTATTATAAGACTCGTCACCACCCGATGTGGCAGTTGGTCTTGCTTGTCAGTCATACATGAGCACGCAGCAGTGTTCAGAGCCCTATCAAGGCGTTGGAAAGAGGTTTCGAGTACGTAACCGTCTCTCAGGGAAACTGATCAAAATGGTATTCGTCTGCCGCAGTCGTCAGGGAAATATATCACAAGGCATGGGAGAGATGATCCCTTGTTCTTTTCACCCTGCTCACCACTTTCCCGACAAGGGTCGAAGCAAGTTAGAAATCCTGGGCTACGAGGTCCCGGTCAGCAGTTCATGAGCTTGTCCCATACCTGACACTCTTGTTTCTATGCTCTGTACTCCACAAACAGCACATGGTCTTGATCTGTTGGCTCTTGATACAGGCATCAGGATTTTCTCTCCCTGAATAGCATTTCGTCTCCTTGCGTGGCTGGTACATACCAGAGGAATGTATCGCAGAGCTTATTAAGGCATCATCGGCGTGGTATGTGGAACACACTCTCACATGACTGTCTGTGCGGAAGGGTGTATGGCCTTGCCAACACAATAGGGCAGCATGCACTAAGAATATCTCTTAATGACGATGTTGGAGCAAGCGCCCTAATGGATCGGGTGCCTCCCAGCTGTTATCCGGATACCAACCCCTTTGTTCTCCGGGGAGGTAGTCGTGTGCTACTAAGCCCGATCCAGTACAAGCATCGTACTTTCGACCAGGTTTGGGGTCGGTATCCCGATTTAGTGTTCTGATGTTGTGGAATGCTGTTCTGGTCTTGGAGCGCGGGCGTCACGCTGAGGAAAACAAAGTGATGTCAATGCAGTACGACGGAGTAACCAGTGGTTGTTCCACTGGAATCTTCTTCCTCCGGTTTTTCGAATGTCTGTATGCCCAGTGAGGCGACCGTCTTTCCTTATTTTGTCCATTTATAGTTTGATGAGTCCCGGCAGGTTATAGCTCAATTTGTTGCAGAACGCGAAAGTGTGCACAGACAGCTCCCTCGAGAGGCACGCCCTAACCAGCATGGACTCTGACCTAGAAAAAAGACAAAGATCTCCTTCCTTGCGGAGTGTGACACGAGAGCAGATAGAGGCTTCGCATACTCTGGGAACTCCCCCGCCAACATGTGGATCGAGATACGAACGATGGGCGAGGAACATCAAAGGCTTAGAGGCTCGCGGGATCGAGCCCGTGTCTCTTGAAGAACGACTGAAGAACACCAGCTCAACCCCTTTCCGAATGATGCTCACATGGTTCAGCATGGGTATGGCAATCAATAATATAGTGACCGGGTCTTTGGGAACACTGGTAATGAAGCTGAGCTTCACCGACGCCGCGCTGTGTGTAATCTTTGGAACGTTCCTGGGAGGCCTAGGGGTTGGATACATGAGCACATGGGGTCCCAGAAGCGGCAACCGCACACTTGTAAGACCTACACTTGCACCTTGATTCTCTTCTCTTGCCTTTCCCATCTGCACATCACCATTCACGTGACTTGAGGATAACGGCTCACAACTTATATTCTCCTAATAGATTGTGTCTCGGTATTTCATGGGATATTACCCCAGTAAGGTCTGTTGTATACTGAATGTGCTTACCAACTTGGGAACTGGCATGATGAGTGCCACTGTAGGAGGCCAGTTGCTTTCCAAGCTATCGGGAGGTGTCGTGTCCGTCATAGTCGGTATAGTACTAGTCGCCTTGGTGAGTTGGGCAATGGCTACCTTTGGGATGAAGATATTCCAGTTCTATGAGCGGTATGATTCGTCCACCTTCAAATTTTCAAAGTGTTACCCTGACCATTGATTCTGGCATAGATTTGCTTGGTTTCCGCAATTGTTGATCTTTTGCGTTCTTACCGGCTCGGCCGGTCCGCAATTCGACTTCCATAGCCCGTCGATCGGTTCTATTGAGCAGATAAACGCAAAACGTCTAACATATTTCTCACTTTGCCTTTCTATTCCCTTGTCATGGATACCTGTGTCCGCAGACTACCAGGTTTACTATTCTCCGGAAATACGAAGATGGAAAGTGTGGACAGTAACCACGATCGGTGTAAGCCTCTCAATAGCCATAACCCTTCTTCTTGGCGCCGGGCTTGGAAGCGGTGTTGCAATCAACTCCAAATGGGCGTCTCTTTATGACGGCACACCGGGGAGTCTGCTGATGGCCGGCTATGATCGGTTGGGGCCTCTTGGGAAGCTATGCGCCTTCATCAACGTCTTAACGATTGTGTCCAACAATGCCCCCAGCTCGTACTCAACGGGACTGAATTTCCAAATGCTGGGAGAGATGTGGCTCAGGGTTCCACGGCCTGTTTTCACGACTGCCAGCACTCTGGTCTACGCATCATGTGCTATCGGAGGCCGAAACTCTTTGTATGAGATCTTCGGGAATCTAATGCCACTCATTGGCTATTGGGTCATTATCTGGTTCACCATTGTGGTAGAACAAGACGTACTTTTCAGCCGAGGGAAAAGTTACGACTGGACGGACTGGAACAATTGGCTTAAGCTCCCAGTTGGAGTGGCAGCAAGCACTGCCTTCTTGATCGGGTGGGTAGGAGCCATTGTTGGCATGGTATGCAGTCCCACTAGCATGTGCTTGTTGCACGAATCACTGCTGACCAAGATACTCTTCTCCTAATAGAATCAAGCCTATTATACAGGCCCAGTTTCCAGAGCGATTCCAGGTGGATGTGATTTGGGCCTCTGGCTGGGGTTGGGCTTCACGGCTCTTGCGTTTCCGCCATTCAGAATGCTGGAGTTGAAGATTATTGGCCGTTGAGTATACGAGTGCTGATTAGACATCGGTGTCATTCTGGACCGTATCCAAGACACTTCACCAGGCCCTTTCTGTGTGGTCTCACGAGGAGCGACGGGTGTAACCGGACCAATATGCTGTTAATTAGACCAACGTGCCATCTGCTATTGCTGTGAATAGAAAACCCCTGGCGGAAGAATTCTCAAATACTTTTTGTACGTACGCGCATATGCCTGTTTAGATACTGATACAATTTTCAATTCCGTGTTTACCTTCCGAGCAGATGCAATGTTGTCCTGGCGGAGTTGTTATGGCACAGAAAGATGGTTTGCATGAGTGATGGTATGGTTCTGTAGTTTTTTATGGTCAGGTGAGATGAATTGCCCAATGGGGCATATATGAATTCCTGTACCGGGCATCGGAAGTATTTCCCTGACAGGCAGTTAGCCGAGACTTCATATAAGGAAGTCAGCCGGTTTGCAGATGGCGAGTCGAATACTTCCTAGATAGGAAGCACTTATTACTCCATTCAGTATAAAAAAGGGACTAATGCTCCTTTATGTAAATGCATAGAACAACTCTCCCACTGATTTTGGCGATATCAACTCTCAGACAAGAACGTCACTACCAGTTCAATTGCACCATCATCAGACCATGAATGCTGTCGCGGCGTCTACATCCAACCCCGCCAATGAGTTGGAGGTGGCTGCTGATTCCGATTCGGCTCATGTTGGGTCATCAGCCTGTCTAGACCATGCATCACAGCACTTTATCCGATTGCCGGATACTATGTTTTCTTCCATAATGGCTGCGAAGCCCAGCTTGAACCCACATTACCAAGAGGTGAAAGCTGAGGCCGATGCTTGGATTGGTTTAATTGGGATAGTATGATGACGCCGCCCATCTTGCAACCAGCAATCTGGCCGGCTAATCAATACAATTTACTGGTCAGGTTTTTATTTTCGATGACCGTGGGTGCGAGGAAATCACATGCTCTGATATTTTCAACAGTGAGCAATGAAGAAGTCAATAAGCTGACATGAATACTTGCTCCTGCATTCAGAATTCGACGAAGGCCGTCTGAGCACCGACCTGGCAGTCGCAGAGGAGGAGATTAAACAGACTATGGCTCTCATGAAGGATGGTGCGCCCCTCATTAGCATGGAAGATAACCCAATTCAGCATATATATCAAACTTGTTGGTACCGATTGAGTAAGGTAGGGGCAAGGAAAGCCCTCTATTTATTTGTGGGGCTGACAGCTACCATTAGTCCCGTGGACTAGAGATCCACAACAGGCGAATTTTCGCTATCATTGATTCCTTCAACCATCCTACTTAGGGAGCTGATACTGAGGACTGTAGACCTGCAACATTCCATACATGAAGCAAAGTAATATTACAAAGACTGAATAAAGTGCTAACTACTAGCCATGCAAGCGAAAAAAGACGAAAAGTAACATGCAATTGGGTCAGCTGAGCGGGTCAAGAGATACATCGTTCAATTGGTTTAAGGTCCACTCCTCGTACTCACGGATCTCGACCAAAACTTTTCCCGTCCAGACAGTGTACTATTGTCTTTCGGCTTGAATCTATAGCCTCTACATGTATCCATTTGCCCCATCTTTCTGGCCCTTTGCTCGGGCGCGCATAGCTGGTAATTGATGGACTCTTCTTCTTTCCCAAAGCTGTACACTGGCATTGATGGCTCCATTAGTGGCGGCGCTTCATCCACACCTCAAGTGGCAAGATTCACACAGCAACCAAGGACTTACACACACAGTATGGTAAGTGCATAATCCTCAGCTGCTCCAATGTATACGGCTTACTGACACTAGAGCGGTGCCCTGTCCTCTAGGTTCAATTGTGCGCATTTCGCCTAATGAGCTGTCTTTTACATCGGTTGAGACTTGGAAAATGAGTGCAGTCAAGTAGTCCAACACACGACCTGCCTAAACTGGTGCTAAGCACTTGATGTCCTGCAGGTGAGAGTTTATGGAAATTTCCCCATTGAGAATATTCCCGAACTGCCAATTCGGGCATTATGCGTCCGAGATAAGGCCATCCCCTTAGGAAGATCATTACTTTTCTCCTTTGGCAGCACACAAATAATCCTCATATCTGGTATCTACATCATGGTGACTCGAATCTTCCAAAGAGTGCGTTCTCTGCTAGAGTTCCGAGTCCGCGCCCACCACCGTCATTGCCTGCACGAATTGGGCCAAGGCCGGATTTCGAGAGGCTGCGCACTTCGGCCCTGCGGCTCATCCCAGTGATGGTTCATCAGGGCCACCCGGAGCCTGTGTATCATATGCAGGGTCTTCACTGACTAACAAACATATACCTCGTGATATATCACTCATTCATGGAAAGGAAGACTCGGGGATTTACTTGATCAATGGATACTTGCGTGACGAGACTTGGGAATTGATACAGAAGGTTTTTGATTCATTGAAGCCTGAATATTACAAGAATAAGATCCATCAACCATACGAGTACTCCAACATGGTCGCGGCGCTGACACCGGCAGTCCACGTGTACGACTAGTAGTTCAGTGGGAACTAACATTCTGGGTTTCAAGCATCAGTATGTACCACTATATGTCGCCGATTTCTGCACCCACAACCAGAACGAGTACTAGCTTTGGGTAAGACTCGGCGAATCAGGCCGATGTCCCATGTACTTACACCAGAAAATATGTGTGCTTTTCAGTTCACAAAGCAAGGCCGGTTCTACTAGTAGTACAGCATTATTATGTTTCGAATCCAATGACGTTGAAGCAAATCACTTGTTCAATATTGGTAATGGGTATGGACGGGTTTATGCTCGGACACATGAACTCGTGGCAGGCAGACTCAATCTACCTGAGGTTCATGGTTTTTAGAAAAGACCTGAATAATTGCAGAAAGAGATGAGACGAAACTTGGTAGCGTACTATATACGTACTGTGTAGATAATCAGTGCCTGGAAATCGATATGGACAGTGAACCACGGTAGGGGAAGGGAGAGCGGTGGGGTAACCACACCTTAAAACTCACTGTTAAGTCAGATCTTAGTTATGAACCCCCGGGGGATCATCATTATCACCATCATCAGACCCACCCACCCTGTAAGTCAAGTAGTTAACTCTTCGAGCATATTATTCATATTATCCCTCACTGATCAAGTGCCTAACTCCCTTGTACATTGTCGATCTTCAATCTTGGTATGCTGGAATTTATTTGTTCACAGCGGTCATCTGTACCCCTCACAACTTATGACTAATGTCCCCGATGCAGATCATTTCATTTCAGTCGAGACCGACTTAAGAGACTCAAAGATGCTTCTACAGTCCCCTTCGCCCGTCATCGAGTTTATCTATATACTAGCTGTGCATCGACACATGGACCACTGAGCAAAATCAGTAATATTAGGCGACCAATGGATAACAGCACACAGCTCACTCCGGGCAAATTCCTGGGGTTTGTCCCCAACACGGACCCTCGGGTGGCGGGTTTGGGATTCCAGCAATTGGTCACTTGTGTTTGCTTGCTGCTTCCAGCCTACGCGTTTCTGGTTTCGCAGCTACGATTTCGATATCTCCAGCGACTACATCAAAAATACCCCTATACGACGCGAGAGTCTTTCTCTCGCATGACCGACGATGAAGCCTGCGAGATACAAAAAGGCTTGGTTCAGCTGGAGTTCCCGTTTCTCTACCTCAAATCACTCCAGTTTGCTCTCTTCAGGGTGTGAAACCCCGGCTACTTTTTGCTTATTCTTTTATTTTCCTATCCTGCCGACTAACTACTGCACCAGACATATGGTATCCCGACCATCTCGACAGTGCTCGCAAATACAGCCCAATTCTCCAAGCCCGAAACTTCTCTGAAACGCTACGCTGATACAGCAGCACTGGTTCAGGAGTTCGTAGGCCATGCGCCAACCTCTCGTCGTGCTTGCACTTCTATTGCACGCACCCGCTGGATCCACAGCAGCTATCGCGCTTCCGGCAAGATCCTGGAAGATGATATGCTGTACACACTCGGCCTCTTTGCCATCCAGCCAGTCAGATTTGTGAAAATGTATGAATGGCGGGACCTGAGCGACCTTGAGAGATGTGCCATCGGTACCTTTTGGAAAAGTCTGGGCGACAGCTTGAATATTAGCTATGATGCCCTCCCGTCAGGTAAAACCGGATTTCGCGATGGTCTTCATTGGCTGGAGGAAATGATGGCCTGGAGCGACGACTATGAGGTTCGTTGCATGGTACCTCATGTCAAGAACCGTGAAGTGGCCGAACAGACCATCGCAGTGCTGCTGTACATGCTTCCCCAGTCACTGCAGTTCATTGGGATGAGATTTGTCTCGTTCATGATGGACGATCGCTTGCGGAAAGCCATGCTGTAAGTCTTGTGTAATGTTTCCAGGGACTCGAACAAACCGCTTATTGATTCTCTTTCCAGGATTGACCCTCCTCCGGCTTTTGATGCTAAGCTGTTCTCGTTACTGTTCTCCGCTCGTCGGTTTGCATTGCGGTATCTTGCGCTGCCCCGCCCTTATGTTCTGCGGTATGTTAGTTACACCGATGACTACAACGAGAGCGGACGCATCTACATGACCAACTGGGATGCTGCCCCTTACTATGTGGAGCCGAGTCTCCGGAACCGCTGGGGCCCGATTGCCTGGCTAACTTGGGCACTTGGTCGGCCTTTGCCGGGAGACGAAGGGGACAAGTATTATCCAAAGGGGTATGATAATCTCGACGTAGGCCCCAAATATTTCGAAGGTAAGGGCCGTCAGGCTATGGAGGACATCATGAAGGAGTTGGAAACCACACGACGGGGTCAGTGCCCTTTTCACTGAGCTTTGCGCGGAGCTGGCCTCACTCAATTGGAATGCGCGTTGGACGAAGTTGTGTCGATTTTATAAGGCACATACTGCGCTGCTAAATGCTGATCTACTTAGCGAAGCGTAATTTGCCGCAGCGATGATCTACGAGCAACTATCGAAGATAGTTTATGCACTTGGAATCCTCCTGAGCCTCCCACAAATGTAAACAACTTTGTTCTTGCACTATCCTGGGAAGTCTTGGGCCAATATTTGCTTCATTCGCCTATGTTTGCTAGTACCCTCGCATTGTAGTGATTGTGTCGTTCTGATATTCCATGGTGTGCTGGATTACCGTCGTAACCAATCGTGGTCCATCCACACTGAAGCTCGGAGATTTTCCTTGAAATCCATTTTATGCATCATTCTAATAGCTGAAACTTTCGCAACGCGCTCTATTTGAGCGAAGTTATCTGTCGCATTCATTTTGTTTTAGCACCTCTATCTGGGTGGGTTTTTTTTTTTTTTTTTTTTTTTTTTTTTTTCTTTATCACTGTAAGGAATACTGCGCTTGAGCGTTCACCTTCGTTTCAATGAAAGATTCACCTCGTATTCACCAGTGGATTTAAGCTACAAATGCAGATAAAATGAACAAGGACCCCATTCCTTTCCCCGCACAATTACGCTAAGGCCGTAAGCGCGTCAAACGCACCTATGAAAGACAGAATATTCACTACATTGTATTTACTAGGATATAATAGTCTAAGCAAAGTAAAGCTGCCAACATCGTCAGCCTAAGCTAAGCGCGCCCTCCATGACGTGAATAGCCGTCGCAGCTTACATAAAGCGATCTCTCTCTCCCCGCAAATCCGAAACCTATCATCATCATCAAATCAACCTTTCCTTAACCCAGATAATAAACTCTTTTGTTACTACTTTGATATTTGTTCGCCGTCGCATTCATATCGTCTATCGTGTACAACAATAATGGCGTCGCCTACCCCGAACGAAGACGGCCGTTCTCCTCCGCTAAGCAACTTCCCCCAGGATCCTTCGGAATTCGACAGCGACCCGCGCATCTCGTTCTCGAAGCTCGACAACAAGTTCATCTTGGAAACAGAGGACGGACAGGAATTTGAATATGATACGGTGCTAAAGAGATGGATTCCGACGGTGTGTGCGCGCTCTTTCTCCAGCTGGGTGGTGTGATGTTATGTAGCTGTTGAACCTGCTGCTACTTCCTTTTTTTTTGTTTCTACTTTTCTTATCCCTCCCCGCCTCCCCCCCTTTTTGTTTCAACTGGTTATGGAACCTTCCTCTCTTGTTGCAAATAGACCGATATACACGATGTCTATTATTGCAGGGATTGTTTGATTGGTTCGTGAAACTGATTGCTTGGTTGGCGCCGCTTTGCGCCCGTCCGGGGTTGCCTCCAGGTCGATGAAGACTTGCTACAACAACAGCAAGAAGCATATAAGGTCCAGGGTGTCAATGAGGAGGAACAAATTACTGCGGCGCAGTTGAGGAAGAAGCGCAAGCAACAGGCTTCTACGGAAGAGGTTAGTCCAACGGTTCTACGATGATGCTTCCTTGAGTTGGCCCCAATGGCATTGGGTTGAGCCTTATACTAAAGAGGATATGTGTAATCGCGTAGGGCAATGGGCAACAGAAGCCTAAGAAACAGCGCGTCAATACCGCCGTCTATGTGACTTCGATTCCTCTGGATGCTGAGTTCGATGAAATCCGTGATGTCTTCTCCAAGTGTGGTGTTATCGCTGAGGAGATCGATAGCGGCCGACCGCGCATTAAGATGTACACTGATGAGAGTGGCAAGTTTAAGGGTGAAGCTCTCGTTGTGTACTTCCGACCGGAGTCTGTCAACCTCGCGATACAGATGCTGGATGATTCGAACTTTAGGATCGGGGTACCCGGTCCGCAGGGGCCTATGCGAGTGCAGCATGCGGATTTCTCGTTCAAGAGTCAGCAAGAGGCGCCTACGAAGACTAGTATGAGGGATAAGAAGAAGATTATGCGCCGGACACAGAAGCTGAATAGGTATGGGGACAACTACAGTTTACCTGCAATGATAGGGCTTGGGCTTTGCTGATACAGGTGTCTAGCAAACTTGCTGATTGGGACGATGACGATCCGTCTGCCTTGCCGGACACGACTTCCCGCTTTGATAAGCTCGTGATCTTGAAACATATGTTCACGTTGAAAGAATTGGAGGTACGGAGGATACGTCCTGAGATAATGGTGACTGTAAGATACTAACGTCTGGCGTAGGAGGATCCTGCAGCTATCCTTGATATCAAGGAAGATATTCGGGAGGAGTGCTCGAAGCTGGGGGATGTGACCAACGTTGTACTCTACGATAAGGAACCCGAGGGAGTGGTGAGCGTTCGCTTTTCCGATCCCGAGGCAGCCAGGAGTTGTGTCAAGGTAAGCTTGATTACGGGATGACGATGGTCAAATACCCCCAAGACAAGAACATTTGTTAATTATACTGTTACTTTTAGATGATGGATGGGCGGTTCTTCGCTGGCACCCGGGTCGATGCCTATATTGCAGATGGCAGTGAGAAATTTAAGAAGACCAATGAGAAGCGTGCGGCACTGGAGGATCTGGCGGAGAAAGGACTGGATGCGTCCGATGAAGAGGAGGAGCAGCGATTGGATGAGTTTGGCACGTGGTTGGAAAGCTCTCATACGGTCGAGAACACGGCCAAGTGATGGTGATGGTGATGATGCTTTCTCGGATGTAATCATTCTCAGGGGGATCTGGAACTGGATGGGATGGGCGTAATCGCTTTTCAGGCTGGCTGGTCACTTTAGACGACCTGCGGGATTGTAGACTTGTATGTACTCATAATAGCGTTCGGTTTGTTGTTATTATCACTATGCTTTCCATTTGTTTACACGAAAAGGACCATGAATCCATGGTAAAGCCGGTCAGGCCATGATCAAGTCTGGTTCGCGTGTGGACAAGCCAAGTCACGGGGGTCAACTGTCACTGGCCCGCAAGGTCGTCCCGTGACGACGCCAAACCGAATTGGGGGAGAGCCCCTATTTACCTGCCCAAAAGATCGAGTGTTTTGTTGGCCTTTTTTGGGCTTTGTTGTTGATCCCCGAATTTATTAGGCTTGGGAATTGCTTACCTACTCCGTACTGGTATTACTATTATTGCCCGCACAACGTTCCCCCTTCACCGCTCTCCTTCTACCCAACTCTCCACTAAGGCCAAACTAACTTCCCTCCCATTCCTCGTTTTCTCCTCCCTCCTCCCTCCCCCTTCTCCTCCTTTAGTCGACTGTCTTTCCCCAGTCTCCTCCCAACAACTTCCCGTTCATCCACTTCCTCCGGCCTCGCCGTCTCTCACTCCCCTTCGACCCTTTTCAATACCTTTAACCCCTTCAATATCCCCGGCACAATGCGTGAGATCGTATGTTTTCCCTCCCCGTCCCTCTTCCGTCAGGAGACGCGTCGTTGGTTGGCATCTCTTCTGATCGGGACCCCACCGGTTCTTCAACCAACTCAATCTTGTGCTAACTGCATGTCTTCGTCGCTTCATAGGTTCACCTCCAAACCGGCCAGTGTGTAAGTGCCAATATGTTCTTCGAATGATTGCCCTTCCGGGTTCTTGATTGGTGTTCGGTGGACTAAACAACAAATGATGGTGGTTAGGGTAACCAAATTGGTGCTGCTTTCTGGTACGTATTCACTGCCACTGGATTGGGGATGGAACATCATCTCTCAAGCTATCTCAGCTTGAGTTCAGATGTCATCCATCGGGTATATATGTCTAACAACTCAACAGGCAGACCATCTCTGGCGAGCACGGCCTTGACGGCTCCGGTGTGTAAGTGCAACTTTTTCACACCTCTCAATTGGTCAACAATGTGGAAAGGATTGGGTATTCTGACACGCAGGATAGTTACAATGGCACCTCCGACCTCCAGCTGGAGCGCATGAACGTCTACTTCAACGAGGTTAGATCACACCGTACCTGAGTTTTTTTCACGACAATATCATCAATGTCCTGACCACTTCAGCAGGCTAGCGGTAACAAGTATGTCCCCCGTGCCGTCCTCGTCGATCTCGAGCCCGGTACCATGGACGCCGTCCGTGCCGGTCCCTTCGGCCAGCTCTTCCGTCCCGACAACTTCGTCTTCGGCCAGTCCGGTGCTGGTAACAACTGGGCCAAGGGTCACTACACTGAGGGTGCCGAGTTGGTCGACCAGGTTGTCGACGTTGTCCGCCGTGAGGCCGAGGCTTGCGACTGCCTCCAGGGTTTCCAGATCACCCACTCCCTCGGTGGTGGTACCGGTGCCGGTATGGGTACCCTCCTGATCTCCAAGATCCGTGAGGAATTCCCCGACCGTATGATGGCCACCTTCTCCGTTGTCCCCTCCCCCAAGGTCTCCGACACCGTTGTTGAGCCTTACAACGCCACTCTCTCCGTCCACCAGCTCGTTGAGCACTCCGACGAGACATTCTGTATCGACAACGAGGTACGTTTTTGTGCCTAGCACATATCGAAACAAGATTGGTGCTCGAGGACTAACGAATTGACCAATCCAGGCTCTGTACGACATCTGCATGCGCACCCTCAAGCTCTCCAACCCCTCCTACGGTGACCTGAACCACCTGGTCTCTGCCGTCATGTCCGGTGTGACCACTTGCCTCCGTTTCCCTGGTCAGCTCAACTCCGACCTCCGCAAGCTGGCTGTCAACATGGTTCCCTTCCCTCGTCTCCACTTCTTCATGGTCGGCTTCGCTCCTCTGACCAGCCGCGGCGCCTACTCCTTCCGTGCCGTCACCGTTCCCGAGTTGACCCAGCAGATGTTCGACCCCAAGAACATGATGGCTGCCTCTGACTTCCGCAACGGCCGCTACCTCACCTGCTCCGCCATCTTGTGAGTCTTTTTTACTGCATTGTTTGCATTATGCCAGCTAACAAGTATCTAGCCGTGGACGTGTCTCCATGAAGGAGGTTGAGGACCAGATGCGCAACATCCAGAGCAAGAACCAGACCTACTTCGTCGAGTGGATCCCCAACAACATCCAGACCGCCCTGTGCTCCATCCCTCCCCGTGGTCTCAAGATGTCCTCTACCTTCATCGGTAACTCCACCTCCATCCAGGAGCTCTTCAAGCGTGTCGGTGATCAGTTCACTGCTATGTTCCGTCGCAAGGCTTTCTTGCACTGGTACACTGGTGAGGGTATGGACGAGATGGAGTTCACTGAGGCTGAGAGCAACATGAACGACCTGGTCTCCGAGTACCAGCAGTACCAGGACGCCTCGATCTCCGAGGGTGAGGAGGAATAGTAAGTTTACCCAGGAATCCATTTACTCTGTTTCGGTTCTGACCAATGCTACAGCGTCGAGGAGGAGCCCCTTGAGGCTGAGGAGTAAATGTCTCAAGTCGACAGTTACGCGAATTGAGATCTGCTCTGTAATACCCCGATAAGCCTACATTCTCTTCGACCAAGGCCTTCCAGGGTCTTGGTCAGTGAATTCTTCTGTTTGAGCGCTCTTAATTTCCCTTCCTGTTTTTAATTACTTAGGCTCAAAGCCTGGACTTATTAAACCCAATCGCACATAGTTTTAAAAGCAGTTTGGTACAATCTTCCTAGTCTTGATGAATTTAGATGTTAGGCATTTGTTAAACTGGCCATAAAATAGGCCATTGATAAATACTGTACCATACCATATCGGTATGCATACTTTGTACATGATCCTCATTCCATTCATGTGATAATGTACGCTGTCCATTGTTCATCGATAAGAAACGTGGTAACCCCGCATTCCTTCTTCCACTGCTGACTCTATACTTCACGCCCTCTGAGATTATAGTTGAGAATGTGGTAGAACCAGTAAAGCCCTCGTTGGTTTTCATGTGCTATGGATGAGTAGTGTGTACATCAGTGGACAAAGCAAGCTGAGTGGTTCTGGGGGATCTAATGTATTGTGTGGTATGTTTTTGGTTGGTTCTATTGTGTGTGTGTGTGTATGCAGTAGCTTGGGGACGGACGATCGTAAACGAAGAATCGCGCCGAGAGGGAGAAGGGGGAAATATAAGTAGCAAATTAGGATATTATATTATGCTAGTACTAGTATTGCGATGTCTTTGCTTTTTTTTTTTTCAAAGGTCATTGTACATCGTAGGTAGTAAGAAAGTATATGATGAATTTTGGGGTTATATGTGAAGATGAAACATATGTTGATAGAAAGGACGGAAGGACAAATGAAAAGGTGAAGAATATGTACATCTGAAGGGTATTCAAAGAATGACATAATGACCAGAAACGAAATAGGTATCAAGGGTAAAAAAAATTAAATCCAAATAAAAGTGTATAAGTTATTGTGTTCGTTCATGACTCGAAGTTAGGAGGGATTGAAGATGAATGGCCAAATCATCCTCGATATAACTCCTCCTGTACTTCAGACCTTAATCTCCACAGTCTCCTCGTTGCCGTTGGGAGGGGTCATGGTGCGTTTGGAAGACATGTCGCCGTTCTCGGGGCTAGTGCCGCCAATGACATCGCGGGTGATTTCGACGTAGTCGTACTAAAGCTATTGTTAGAATAGGAGGGTCGATTGTTTCCATGCAATGGGGAAGCACTTACGGCAAATTCACCAATCTCGGCATCGTCCACACCAAGGATTTCTTCCTCTTCAGGGATGCGCAGGTGCAGACCGGGGATCAGGTTGATAATGAAGAGGATGATGCAGCTTCCGAAGAACGAGTAGGCCATACCGGAGATGGAGTCCGCCAATTGGTAGCCGAGCTGGATGTAGTTGTGGTTGATCCAGCCTCCGTCAATGACCGTGGAACCATCGAGGTGGGCGATGTAGTCACTATTACCAGAGAGCAAGCGTTAGTTGAGTGCCCATCGGTATAAGGTTTTTCTTTTGTTAAGTATCAGAGGGGCCTTACGCAGCAAATAGACCAGTCAAGAGGTTGCCAACGAGACCTCCAATGGCGTGCACAGCAAAGATATCCAGCGCGTCATCCACACGAAGCACGTACTTGAGCTTGGTGGCGTAGTTGCAAGCAGCAGCACCGACGACGCCAAAGATAAAGGCAGCCCAAGGTGTCACGAAGCCAGAGCCCGGGGTAATGGCCACGAGACCTGCAATGACACCGGAGCAGAAACCGACAGTGGACCACTTCCTCTCCAGTCTGTAGTCCATGATGCACCAGGTGACACCACCCACGGAGGCAGCCAAGTTCGTGACCACGGCTGCCATAACAGCACGCAAGTTGGCGCTCAAGGCAGAGCCGGCGTTGAATCCGAACCATCCAACCCAGAGGAAGACAGTACCAATGACGACGTGCGTGACGTTGTGGGGACGGTAGTTGAGCTCGTGGGTGCCATGTCCGCGGCGCTTGCCGAGCATCAGGGAGTATGCCAGTGCAGCCGTGCCGGAAGCAATGTGGACGGGGGTACCACCTGCGAAGTCAAGTCCTCCCAGTTTGTATACCCAGCCGGACGAGTTCCATGTCCAACAGGCGATCGGATCGTAGATAATGGTGGACCAAACGAAGCTAAAGACCATGCAAGGCAGCATGCGACCACGTTCCGCGACTGCACCAACAGCAAGGGCAACCCTATCTCCGTTATCAGCCATCAGTCTTGAAAGTTGCTCCGTTGTTTGGGGACGACTCACGTAATAGCAGCGAACATGCCCTGGAAGACAGCGAAGAGAAGATCCGGAACCTTACTACTACCGACTGAAGGAGCTGCCAAAACATCCTTCATTCCAAAATTGTTCAGGTCACCAATGTACTTTCCAGCGGTGTGAGAAAAGGCCAATGAGTATCCCCAGAAGAACCATTGGAATGATACCACCCCGACAGACATTATTGAAAGCCATATTAGCGACAATGCTGATTTGCGTCGGGCGAGACCTGAGTAGAAAAAGCTGTTGTCGTCAGTTGGAGGGGCCCAATGGCTAGATGGACAGGTGGTAATCATACCCAACACCAGGAATCATCAACAACACCAAAGCCGTAGAGGTGATAACCCAAGCGATATCTCCAGACTAAAGTCAGTTAGCGGGGATGAGCCCAACCATAGCCTCCATCACATATCTAAGAAAGACATACGCTGTAGTAGATGTTAAGATCTTCTGTCAGGGAGTTACCACCGGTTCCATTGTCCGTGCCATTGTAGGCGACAGGGTATTCCGACATAATGAACCACACAGGGCTTTCTGATTAAAGAAAGGCCCAAAACTGTGTATGAAAGTGTCTATGTGACTCCTAAGCCTTGGACACTAAGACTAGGAGCCCTGTAGAATGCAGAGGGCGCGAGATGGGGTCGACGTGTAGACCCAAAGGCCTTTAATGGGTTAAGGCAGCGAGAGATGGGCAAGCAAGTCGGGGGGGGCTCTAGACACTAGCGATCGAGAGGGAAAAAATAAAAAGGAATTATGGGACGAAGGGAAATAGAAGACGACGGAGGAGTTTAATTCAAAAAGCAAAACAAGCCACTGCAGGGGGAAGGAAAGGGGATGCAGGAGTGATAAATAGTACTGGAAATAGTCGGAGCAGGGCGATGATACCAGTCAGAATGAAACGCCATGGTCTCACTTGCATCGATTCATGGCCGGATCCACTCATTCGGGCACTAGGCGCAACCCTGGGCCATGGTTAGTCGCAATCAATACGACCGATAGATAGATAGATATCAGCAAGCAGCGAAGAAAGCCATGGCGGCGGATAAGAGCGTGGAGACTCCGGAGGGAGGATGAGTGGATGGGATGGGCGGGCCAATGCGCGGCTTTCCCGTTGGGATATTCCACTTGACCTGCAGCGGGATCCAGCCATCATCCTGTAATAATGTGGGCTTGTAGTACGTTCGTTTTCCCGCTAGCTGGGAGGGAAATCAGACGAGAACGTGGACGGAAAAGCCAAGTTAAGTGTGTGTGTGTGGGTGACACTGGCTGAGTGCATGGCAGCCTAACCGCGCCATGCTGCATCGGTAACAGGCAAGAAGCTGAGAATTCCTTCTATGTCGTACTCTACTAATTACTACTACTACTACTACTACTTACTATGGATAGGGGTCGAAGATGATAATGTGACCGACTACTAACCTGCTAGTTACTACTATGCAACTACCGATGGAGACCCTGAGATTGAAGAAAGATTTCAATGACAGATCGGGGGAAATAATGGATAGTAACAGCGTCATTGGACTCGATGCAAGGCGGATAAGAGTCAAAAGGAACAGGAAACTTCCGAAGGACTCTTTAGTTTTCGTTAATTTCTTGGACAGCTTCTCGCGACTGGTGGGAGATAGCATGCAATCGGCCAATCAAAAACAATGGTATTACCTGAGCTTACTACTCCGGACTCGCAGCTGAAATGGTTATCTATCAATTACTATTAACGAACTTACTCCCCTATCTATCAGAGACAAGGCTGCGGATTGAGTTCGTGGCTTCACCCATCGTTCTCGAACTTCCATGGTTTGAGGAGTCACTGGTACTCCGGCTAGTATTCTGTACCCCAGTTGACAAGGACCACGAGGTAGTCAGTGAGACTCCCTTAGTTACTAGTTCGTATGAATCAATTCATGGTAAAATTTATGGTCGCGTCGTGAATTCCTTCAGCCCAGCCGGTCTCGCTGTGCTTATCTTCAGACTTCGGCCGTCCAATCAGCAGTCGGCCGGGATGGCTTATCAGACCTCCTGATTTCCTCTTCAAAACAAACCCCGTGGGTTCCTGTTACTCCTGGCCATTACTGTCGGTTGCAATGTTGATATCCCATGAGTAGAGCTTTGATGAAGCCAAGACCTCCGTCTCATCATCCTTGTCGGGCGGTGTCTGCGTTGTTCCTTCATAGCAGGAAGGTTACTCCGTACTCCTTGAAGATACCTACTAAGTTACCAGCTGACTTCTGAGTAACTTCCTACGGCAATACTGTAAGATGGACGGTTGGTTGACAGAAATCTGAATATCTCCTCAATATTTTCACAATATATCTCGGAATAAATGTGAAATAATAAACTTGTATGGGATGGCCAAGTCCAGATCAAGCGATCGTGTTTCAAGCACGGATCATAGGGCTGCTTGACTGGGATGAACCAACAACTCCACGGAGCCACATCAGCAATCGATATCCCTGGATCAACGGTAGCACCAAGTAACACTAGAATAGTTAATTAGTAGCCCGCTATATCTGTCAGCAGCTTGGAGCTATTTCCTCTGTACCTTCATGGAAGTTTACGATATTGACCAAAAACCCACTCAGTCCTTCCAGCTGCGTCTCCCGTAGGTAGAGATAAGCTCACCAGTCCCCATTGGCTAGGGCAATTCGGCATCCCGACTGGCTCGGACTAGCGGGCTTGGCATCTTTTGGGGGGTTTCTTTCAGTCTTTAACAATCATCGATGCGAGATCATCTGAGGATTTGATCAACATGAATTTGATAATCATATCGTTCAATCTATCTCCGCTGTTCTTGCCGAATTCAGAACAGAATGTCGAACAAGCACAAAGGAGTAGATAATCGGTGCTATGTGTGATTAATTTCTATCCCACTAGAATACCCCAGTTGTATTATCTTGTGGAAAACCGATACGGCTCATCGCCATATAGAATGCAATACCTCTCAAGGAGTTGGACCACAACACCACATCCTGACCTGGATATTTCCATACTGCTAGCATGATGTCATAATCAAAGTAACATTCTACTAGGCGGTCAGATCAACTGTTCCCATAGTTTACTGTCCACCAGTACCTGCTTAAGCTTCCCCGGAATTTCCAAAATGGATCTCCAAGAGACCCGCAGCCCCAATTCAGGACAATGGGTTCCACTGATCAGCCATCAGACGCATGCCACTATTCACGCCTCAGGGCGATCTTCAAGATGTCAATTGATCGTCGTCCAACTTTTTATCCAAGAAATCAAGCGGGGAGTTTCGAGAAGATGCATGAGGTCGCACTGAGCGGACATTTACAGACGCCCGAAAAGGAGAACGCATACCAACCCGACAAGTCTCCGTCTGAACTATAAGGAGTAGAGTTTCAGATCACCTTCTCGATTTCCCGACTTGGTCAGTTTAAGAGGCATGCCGATGGTTGCATTTTGCTTCTTTTATGTCCCTTTTTGAGGGTTATATCATTTGGAGCGCTGAACGCGGCCTACAGCTTTACGAATACTCCTAGGCAACCACCCACTGAGGCATTTGCCAGTTCTGAAAATTCTGGACAGTTCATACTGAGAGAGGGAGATTGAGAGACGAGTAGGATGGTAACAATCAAGGCCGTAAAATTACTTCTTTTGAACTTTGATAGGCGTGTATATGCCTCAGTCCTCTCAAAAACCTCTTCAAGCACCAGCCGTGTGATCTGTCATTTTCATTCGCCTATGAGTACTTGTGAGAAGCAAGGGGCCAGTCGCCACAGTAGAAACCAATTCAGGGCTACCATATTTTGTTAACAAAAGCCGGCATGAGAGAGTCCACATGATTCATGTATCTGGAACACTGTCTGGTACTTTGTAGAAAGCAGGTGCCTTCCGGCTGACATCGTTCATCTCGTGATTGTGGCATAATGGGCCCTACCGCCTCCCGCTTTGGTATAGGTGTGGCAGGAATAATCCACCTCCGGCTGAAGCTCCGCCCTGTCAATCTGGAGCATACCACTCGGATTCAGCCTCAGATGCTTCGCGGTTTGCACTTTTGAATGGCAAAGGAGTCATCTCGCTTGTAATATCTTTTCATTATATTTACCTTCGCACTTCAAAGTCCTTGAATGCAACTGGTAAGCCTGCGCGATATCAGCCCCGGTCCGGAACCGATAAGTAGCACAGACGTGCACCGCCACACCCCCCCTATCTATCCGCTTGAGGCTTCCCTTCCAACCCGCTTCCTAAACGTCGGACATGCAACATGGAGTCTCAGCAGGACCGCGGGTTTCCGATCATGGAGCATCCTGATTTGAATAACCATGATTCGGATGGCTCCGGGTCCTCCGATGAGCTTCTGCAGCAGCCATATGCTGTAAGAACCAGCTCCAGTTTCCCGGAGAATTTCGACAGCCAGGCCCAAACCCCGGCGACGACTATTTCCTCGTCCCCTCCGCCATCCATTCCATCTGCCCTGCCATCATGGGCAACTGGCACGCCCACACGCCCGCGCGGGGCCAGTATAGGTGCTTCTGCTGCTCTCGAGAAAGCCCCGCCTATGGATGGTCATCCGGTGACCGATCGTGATTTACGGCCGCAACGTCCGTCCGGCCCCGCTCGAACGCCCTCCAATACCTACGCGCCCCAACGACGCCCGCCTCAGTATATCAGCTTCCAGAATGACCGCCAACGGAGTTCCTCAACGAAACGAACTTCTAGACGCGACCCCAATGCACAGTATCGAGCTCAGGAGAAGGCGTATGTCCAGCGCATTCGTGCCGATCCTCAGGCCTGGTACAGTCATTTCGATGAGGCTCAAAACATGAGCATGACGGTGGGGGACTCCGATCTCGAAGAACCCTCACCATCCTCCGAGGTGCCTTTCGAAGACGATGCCTACGATCCGGACATTCAGCTCTTCCTGACCGACGACAATCAGCCAACGATCGAGGAACTCAAGAACCCACGGAACCAAGAGAGGCTGGAATGGCATTCAATGCTTTCATCGGTGTTAAAGGGAGACGTGGTGAAGCAAGAGAAGCAGCGGTTGCTCGGGTCTACGGAATCGAAACGATCGTCGGCTCAGAACAACGCAATATGGTTGGGTGTCAGAGCCAGGACCTGTGGGAGGAGTGTTGCATTGCAGAGGAAGCTCATTGAAGAAGCGAGGGCTGGCCTTGGCCCCGTCATCGAAGAAATCATCAAGTTCGAGATCAAAGGTGAAACAGAGATCGGAAAGTCACCCATCAAGCAGGTTGAGGATATTGTCGCACAAATAGAACGATGCGAAAGCCTTTACTCTACTCACAAGGAGTTGGAAACTGCCCACCCTAGAGTGGCTTCGGAGGAGTTTCACTCCAGTCGCGACGCTGTTTTAGCGTGGCACAACACGACTATCTTGATCAACACCGAGCTGGCTATCCTGCAGAAATGGGTTGGAAACGATGAGTTGGATTTCAACAAATCGAGAACGAAATCAATCAATAGCGACCTTGCCGACGAAACATCCTTCCTTGATCGCATCATGAAGGAGGATGGCCTCAAAACCCTCCAAGGAAAACATAACATGCTCCACGGCATCGGAGAAGTCATCCAAAAAGCAAAGAATACATTGATTGAGAATGCGGGTTCCTTCGCTAAACGCCACTTACCTCCCTATATCGAAGAACTCCTCACTTTGATCAATTTCCCCTCTCGTCTCATACAGGAGATTATACGGGTTCGACTATCTTACGCTAAGAATATGAAAGACCCAGCTTCGCAGTCTGCCATCTTAGTCGATCAAATGATATCGCAGTTCCAGATTCTGATGAAGGTGGCGGTTGATATCAAACGGCATTACCTGGATATCGCCAGACCCGAGCCTGGCTGGGACCTGCCTCCTTGCATTGATGAAGGTTTTGACGCAGTCGTCTTGGATGCGATGAAGTATTACTTTCGGCTTCTGAACTGGAAGCTGACTGCGAATAAGAACACGTTTAAAGAGGCGGAAATTCTAGAGCAGGATTGGGAGTTTTCCAATGAGGTCGGCCGACAACTTGAGGGCGGAGATATCGAGGTCGCGGAGCAGTTCAGGTACGAACAATTTCCATACTATACAATAAATGAATATGGCTAACCCGAGCTAGTGCACTGACTGCCAAGTCAATCCAACGCTTGATGCACCACTTTGAGCGGGAGTTGCAGCCTCGCCATGACGAGGATCCGGCCGACATGGACAAGCGTTATAAAAGCGTCTTGGACTCAACCCGGATCCGGCAACGGAAACTTTACAGATTTTCCCGATTCTTGCGCCAGCTGTTCGAAAATGCAACCGAATACAATTTGCCGGCTGACATTGCGTACGACTTTTTGGAGTCGCTGCTTGTGTCGGATCATTTCATGATCAAATCAAACGTCTCTGTGGGTCAAAAAGGTGTCTATCTCTTTGCGCACCCGGCATTGTGGGATCGCCCTGCAGATATCCAAGCTATCCTAGGCACGTCGTTTCGTGAGGATGACACCAGCAAGGATACACCGCATGCACCGTATATCCTCGTGGTTCGTCCGGAAAAACCTCTTGCTTGGGCTGGCAAGGAAATGCAGCTGGGCATCATGGAACAGCCCACGGACTTGCGATTGGGCAAATTGCGACTTGTGGTCGAAGGGACGCAGCAGCGACTGTCCAATGCCAGACATGAGCTGACACATCTCACTGGTATTCAGCTCGAT